GGACTGGGTTGAGAAAGATGTTGATAGTAGCTTTATTGTCACAATATAGTTTAATTGGTAACTTAATTATAACATGTAACTCATTTAGGAGTTTCTTCAACCACAATCCTTCACATATTCTTTGTGCTATTGCTCTAAACTATGCTTCAGTACTGCTTCTGGCAACTACAATTTGTTTCTTGCTTCTCCATGTTTCTAGATTTCTCCATACAAAAGTGCAGATTTGGTAGTTGATCTTTTATCTTCCGTAGAAACTATCCAGTCGGCATCCATGAAGACTTCGTCTTTCATTTTATGCTTTTTGAAGAATAGTCCCTTCTCTGATGAACCCTTGAGATATCTGAGTATTTTATAGACAGCTTCGAGATGGACTTCCTTCAGAGAGTGCATATGTTGACTTATCATGCTAACTGCAAATGCAATTTCAAATTTAGTGTGTGACAAGCAGATTAGTTTACCTACTAGTCATTGATATCTATCTGTGTCTACTGCACTGTAGGTATTCTCGATTTTATTACCCGTATCAGCTGGTAGATTACCTGGTTTACATCTAAGCATTCCTATTTCAGTGTAAAGGTCAAGAATGTACTTTCTCTATGAATCACTAATGCCCCTTTTTGACCTGGCTACTCCCGTTCCTAAGAAGTATCGCATTTGTTTCAGATCTTTTACTTCAAATTCAGTGGCTAGATTCTCCTTAAGTTTCTCCATTTCCACTCCACTATGTTATCTTCTATTAGGATTATGTCATCAACGTATACAATTAAGATTGTCTTAGTTCCATCATCAAACTATTGGAGGAACATAGTGTGATTTGACTGCACTTATTGGTATCCTAGTCTTTTCAGTACTTTCGCAAATATGTCAAACCATGCTTTAAGTGATTGCTTTAGTATATACAAGGACTTCTTGAGTTTGCATACCCTATTCTTTTCATTTACCTTGCAAAAACTTGGTGATATAGTCATGTAAATTTCTTCTTCTTCCCGTTCTCCATTTAAAATTTCATTCTTAATGTTCAGTTGTTGGATAGGCCAATCCAAGTTTGCTACTAACGACAAGAATACTCGAATTGTATTTAATTTAGCCACAGGTGCAAATTTTTCTATGTAGTCAATGACATAGGTCTGGGTATATCCTTTTGCAACTAGCCTAGTTTTATACAATTCTACTGTTCATCTACTTTATATTTTAAGTTGCAGGCCCATTTATACCCAACTGGTCTTTTTTCCTCTTGGCAAATCCGTCACTCCCACGTTTCATTTTTTCCAACGCTTGCATTTCGTCCATCACCGTTTCTCTCCATTATGGAATTCCCAAAGTTTCCTGAATATCTCTTGGGATTTTGGTACTGTTAAGATGGGAGGTGAAACTTCAAAATCCTATAGACAAAGCATTATGCGACATGAACTTTGAGATATGATGGAGAGTACATGATCGAATTTTTTTAAGAGTGTGAAGGGTAGGTTAATGTCTGATGATTCTAGTATATTTGTGGTATCATGAGATTTCGAGACTTTTATTGGTTCCAACGGAACTATCATTGGTTTTGACTTTCTTGGTGCTTCGGGTGTAAGGTTCTCTTTATGCCTTATTTTTTGTTTTCGCGAGTAAACAAGTATTTTCTTGCCACCTTGTTTTTTTGCATCTTCCCCTAATTCAAGTTTCATCCTGTAAATTGCATAGAAGGACTAGGTGGTATGTTCACTTCCAGAGGGTAAATATCTAAGTTTAGGTATCGATTTTCACTTACATTTTCCCCTTGAAGAGAGGTTCTATGGAAGTATGGTTTATTTTCAAAGAACGTGATGTCGAGAATAATAATCACTACAACACAAGTTTTGGCAGGAACTATTTCAACTCATGGGCACACAACTCCACTTGAGCTCTGCTTATCACCCTTAATCAGATGGACAAACTGAAAGACTCAATCAGTGACTAGAGATGTACTTAAGGTGCATGACATATCAACATCCTAAACAGTAAGGAAGATGGTTTTCATTGGCATAGTGGTGGTATAATACGTCTTACCATTCCTCCATAAGAATGACTCTCTTTAAAGCCCTTTATGGAACCAAGCTACCTCAATTGTCTCGGTAACATACCAGCAGTCAAATGTTGCACACGATTAGGTCTTTTGATGCACACGATTAGGTCTTTCTCAAACTCCACCCCTACATTGCAGAGAGGGAACTTGATAATACGTTGCATTGAGAAACGAGAACGTTGGGGTACACCCAAGATTTTATCTAGACATGAAATTTGCATTAAGACCTCTAAACTTTGTACTATAGTTAAAGAAAGCATAAATTATGTAAAAGGTTCACATAAGGTTTTTTTAATTATTTTTTTAGGCTAGGGCTAGAAATTGGTGTGAATCTTGATTAATTTAATTGCATGCATATGAAAACATAATATATTTATTTCCAGTTTTATTTTATAGGTAGAACGTGCGTTTGCACATTGCTTTGTTTGTCTATTAAGCCTTTGTTTGAGCCCCATTTTATCATAAATTCATTTTTTCAAAATTCATTTTCAACAATACATTCTTCAATAAAATCTTTTACACATAAATTGAATTTTTTCTTATTTTGATATCACACATTCTTCAAAAAATACTATTCCAGATACAATTTTGATTTTTTTCTCAAAATGGGACTCAAACAAGGGCTAAACAATATCTCTTGATGCGTTTTTTCAATCTTTTAACCATGCAAATTCTCGTCTTATTATAAAAAATAAGCTCGAAATACTTTTCTATTTTTTCTCTACTCTCTTCAAAGTGTCCTAGTTAAAAGGAATGTTAAAAAGTCAATATATTTTTTCCTTTTTTTTTTGCGTGTTTATATTAACATACTACTCTTTATCATTTCCAAATGAAAAAAAAAGGATAATAAATAATATAGAGGAAAGAAATTATATTTTCAATTTGCAATACTAATAAACTAGGATCGTATTGTTAAAAAATTTATTTAAACTAATTTTTTTTATTAATTAAAATTAAAAATAAGCAAGGCGTTCATGTCAAAGCATCAAATCTTCAAGAACAAACCGCGTGGCATGATTAAGATAGTACACTTCAATCCAAAAGTCCATGTAGAGGCCGAACCCATATCGGAGGGTGTTTGGTAGGAATTAAAATTAGATTTTTTAATAGATTGTGATAGAAGTTTTTGAAATGTGGTTGAAAAATTGTGGGACCCATAAAAAATATTGTTAATATTGATTGTTTGATTTTGACTTAGATTAACATCAGATTTTAATCCGTACCTAATATGCTTTAAAGTTTGAACCTTCAAGTATGAGGTGAGGCAATTAGAATTGCTGTAGGAGATCTTTCGTACAAGATCTTCCATTAAATGATTGATGTGACAACTTATTGTAATAACTACATTACTTAGTCAATATGTCAAGTTTAGCCCCTACGTGTCAGACTTAGGACTGCAGAAGGTCATATTATTAAGCCCATATTTGAGACCCATTCTTTGAAAAAATACATTCTTAAATAGCGTTTTAATATCATTTCAACCACACATTTTTCAATAAAATAATATTACTTATAAATTTAAAAAAATTTCCTTACTTTAACCACACATTTCTAATCAACACACTATTCAAAAATTCATTCTTATAAAAAGAATGATGCTCAAACAAGGGCTAAATGTGTCTAAGCCTAGCACTGACTAATTGATGCCTATGACAAGGTGCCTAGCCACTGGGATAAGGCTGATAGTTCTTACTTATCTCTTTTTACTATAAAAGCTCACATATTGTACCATTCAAAAGTAATGCAATTTTAGACTCTCAAAACTATAAGTTTGCTCTCTCACAACTCTTTCAATATTTCTCAAATCTGAATGAACCCTTTTTACTAAAGTGACTCAAGTCTCAACACTCAAATATATTCAAACATGACCATCGGAGTAGTCGTGGTTGCCTTCCTTATTTTTTAATCACACATTTTGTTAGATTTAGGTATTTGAATGGAATAATTCTCGTTGATTTATGATTCAATACATATTGATATTTGTAGTACACATGAAGTTGGCTATAATAGGAAACAAATCTAATTTCGAAATGAAATTATACAATATATTGACAAAAGGGAAGGATATCTCTAATTACTGTTAATACTCTCCCTCAAGTTGGAGCATGGAGGTCTGTAATGCCCAACTTGTGAGTGAAATGGTGAAATAAATCCTTTCCAAGAGCTTTGGTAAGAATGTCAGCTAGTTATAGCTTGGATGAGATGTGTTGGGAGAATGAGCCCAGATAAAAACTTTTCACGCACAAAGTGGCAATGAATTTCAATATGTTTGGTACGTTCATGGAAAACAGGATTGCACGTGATATGAAGTGCAGCCGCATTGTCACAGTAGAGCAGAATACGGTGTGGATGTAGAATAACAAGGTCGGGCAAAAGAGATTTGAGCCAATAGTAACAAAAAAACCAATTGTGGAACGATGAATGGTGGGACAGCCTGCCCAATCAGAATCTGAGTATGCAGAAAGTTGAAGATTACACTTAGATAAATAGAAGAGACCATGAAGAGCAGTGGCATGGTGTGAGTCCCCAGGGTTTTGCATGAATAGACTTGGTATGTTAACAGAGAATGAGATGTCTGGCTGAGTAATAGTAAGGTATAAGAGTCGACCCACTAGGCGTCGATATGAACTTAGGTCCGAGAGTAGAGTGCCATCATTATGAGCAAGTTTCAAATTCTGATCCATGAGAAAAGTAGCTAGTCGTAAACCTAAATTGCCAGAGTCCAGTGTATATTTGTGTTGGTTGACAAAAATACCAAGAGGCGACCAGGCGATCTCAAGACCAAGAAAGTACTTCATGGTACCTAAATCCTTGATTTTGAACCTGTTGTCAAAAGAAGTTTAAAGGTTGGTAATGGCAAAGAGATCATTATCTGCAACCAAAACGTCGTCAACATAGACTAGGATAACAGTAAAAAAAGAGCCAATAATCCAAGTAAAGAGTGAGTGATCAGCTACAGTTGAGTGAAGCCATCAGATAATAATGCAGATGAGAGTTTGGAGTACCAATTACAATAAGCCTGTTTGAGGCCATAAACGGATTTCAGGAGGCAACAAACACGGGTCTCTCCCTGTTGACCATAACCAGAAGGAAGTGGCATGTAGACCTCCTCATCTAAATCACCATGAAGAAATTCATTATTGATCAAGTTGATGAAGATACTAATTACGAGATACTGCAACGGCCAAAACACAACGAACGGTGACAAGTTTGGCTACAGGGGCAAAAGTGTCATGATAATCAAGGCCCTCAACATGAGTATAACCTTTAGCCACCAACCGAGCCTTATACCGTTCGATGGAACCATCCGGCATAGGATTTAGTTTTGAAAACCCACTTGCAACCAATGGGTTTTTTACCAGAAGGAAGAGGAGATAAAAGCCAAGTTTGATTAGTTTCAAGAGCTTGAATCTCAGCCCGCATGGCATCATTCCAATGGGAGTGCTTAAGAGCTTGAGAGTTACTAGTGGGTCAGAAGATTGTGAGAGAATAGATAGGAAACCAAAGTGATTAGCAGAAAATTTATTATAGGAAACAAAATGAAAGAGTGGATGAGTCGTACCTGAAGATGTGACTGTAGTAGTTGAAGGCGTTACAGAAGAGGTTGACGGTAAGATAGGATAGACGTAATCAGCAAGATGGAAAGGATGGTGTATAGTATAGTGGGGCGAGTAGGAAGAGAGGCTGGAAGGGGCTCTAGAGATGAGAGATTTGAAAGTGGGATAGGAGGTTCTGGAATAGGAAAATGTAAGACAACAGGCGTTGGGGCAGACTGGGATAAAAGTTGTAAGGAGAAAACATGTTCGATAAAAGTGACGTCTCTAGAGATGAGGATCTTCTTGGTTTCAAGGTCATAGACCCGATATGCACTATGAGAAGAAGGATATCCTAAGAAAACGCGGGGATGATCTTAAGGTTAAAACTTATCACAACCGGCAGAAATCGTACTGACATAGCAAAGACAACCAAAGACACGTAATTGATCATATTTGGGTGCATGTTGGTAAAGGCGCTCAAAAGGAGAATATTTTGTAAAGATGAGGATGGAGTACGGTTGATAAGGTATGTAGCAGTGACAACGCACTCTCCCCAAAATGTGAGAGGAGGGTGAGCTTGAAAACGCAAGCACCGACTCACATTTAAAATATGACAATGTTTTTGCTCAGCAACACCGTTCTATTGTTGTGTTTCCACACAAGTACGTTCATGAATGGTACCTTGTTCTGCAAAAAGATATTGAATGGTGCACTCAAAGAATTCTTGGCCATTGCCATTATTTATGTGACGTATTTTGGAATGAAATTGTGTTTGGATCATAGCAAAAAATGCACAAAGACATGTCAAAGTCTCAGATTTAAAACGCATTGAGTATACCCATGTGACTTGAGTATATTCATCGACTATCTTTAAAAAATAATGAGCACCAGATAGGGAAGCAGTATGATAACCACCCCCAAATGGCACAAAATATGCATTCAAAAGGCATTAAACTTTTATTATCAACTAATTTAAAAGGTAATCGAGTATGTTTGCCACGACTGCAAGTTTTATAATGATCAATAACTTGTGGACGTGAAATAAAATGCAGAATAATATGTAAAGAATGGTGACCCAAACGTTGATGCCATGTATTGAACGAGATATGACAGGATGACTGGAGAGCAGTTGCTGGAGTATGCTTGAAGTGGTATAGTCCGTTATGCTCTTTACCTACTCCAATCAGCATCTTCGTGATTAGGTCCTGAAAAGTACAAAAAATGGGAAAGAAAGAAACAACACAATTATGTGACTTTGTCAATTGACTGACTGATAATAAATTGAATTTGAAATCAGGAACTGATAGAATGTTAGAAATGTTAAGATTGGGAGATGGAGAAAGATCACTCGTACAAGTGACGGGAGTTAAAGCACCTGTAGGAAGACAAACAAAAGTCGGGCATGTAGTAATACGAGATTTATTAACGGGTGAGGTAGTAATGTGGTGCGTAGCACTACTATCAACAATCCAAGGTATAAAATGAGATTGGGATGAGGGATTTACACATGTAAAAGAAAGAGCCGCTGGTTTTAATAATTCCATCAATTTAGTATATCGATCGGTGGAGAAGCCACTCACTGGTGATGCCAAAGAACTGCCCACGTTAGATGAAAAATTAGGCACATGAATTGAAGCTTGGTGCGCTGTCGGTGAAGCCCCATGTGCCGACAAAGACCCGAGTGTGGTGCGCTTGTTCTTGGATGGCCACCACTTCGAATAGCCAAGTATCTCGAAGCATTTAGCAAGGGAGTGACCCTGCTTGCCGCATTCTTCACAAAGCGATGTCCCAGCCGGCCAGACACAACGGTGACAAGATGGGTTTCTTTGAGATGTCATCGACCGAGTGAGTAATGCTGATACCTCTGGTCGAGAAGTAGGTTGGACCATTCTCTGGGTTTCTTCCTGGTGGAGGATGGCGTAGCATCGACAATTGAAGGAAGAGGGTCTGTAGCCAAGATTTGGGACCTGAGTTGTTGAAAATAGTCGTTCAATCCCATAAGAAATTGATACACCCGATCAGAATCTTGTATCTCAGAGAAGGCTTTGGCTGCTCCACGGGTACATGGATTTGTGGGCTATAAGGATGCCAATTCGTCCCGTAATTCCTTCAGTTTACTGTAGTAATTGGTGATTGATTGGTGTTCTTAATGGAGATTGGCAAGGTCGCATTTTAGTCGGAAGATTTTGGTGCGTTTGCTCTGTTGGAAACGTGTCTCCAATTCGATCCAAAATTCATATATTTTATCACAGTAGATGAAGCTTCCTGTAAGAGAACGATCAAGTGATTGAAGAAGCCATGACATAATCATATCACAGCATCGATCCCAAAATTGAGCAACGGTGGTATCATCTGTTGGGCGTTTTATGGTGCCAGGACAAAACCAAGCTTATTTTTGGCATGCAATGCTTGAGTTATGGCATGATGCCAAGAGGGATAATTGTCGCCATTGATGGGTACATCAACGAGAGACTGGTTTGATTGATCTGAAGAGCGTAAGAAATAAGGAGATGCAGCATTTGTGGATGTTTTTGCAGCAGGGACAGGCCGATTTTTGGCTATGAAGAAGGTATGCAACGACTAAACCTCATGGCTCTGATACCATGTTAGATTTAGGTATTTGAATGGAATAATTCTCATTGATTTATGATTCAATACACATTGATATTTGTAGTATACGTGAAGTTGGCTATAATAGGAAACAAACCTAATTTAGGAGTGAAATTATACAATATATTGACAAAAGGGAAGAATATCTCTAATTACCGTTAATACATTTCTCATCAACACACTATTCAAAAATTCATTCTTATAAAAAGAATGGGGCTCAAACAAGGGCTAAATGTGTCTGAACCTAGTACTGACTGATTGATGCTATGACAAGGTGCCTAGCCACTGGGATGAGGCTACGTGTCTCTTTATCCAACAGTTCTTACTTATCTACTTCTACTATAAAAGCTCACATATTGTACCATTCAAAAGTAATGCAATTTTAAACTCTCAAATCTATAAGTTTGCTCTCTTACTACTCTTTCAATATTTCCCAAATCTAAACGAACCCTTTCTACTAAAGTGACTCAAACATGACTGTCGAAGTAGTCGCGGTTGCCTACCCATTGTCGAAGATTGGCCACTTGCTGTAAGGATTTTTTCAAATGTGCATGAAGAAGCTAAGTGGACGTGAGTAAGAGCCAGAATTTGTTGGCCAAGTCATCCTTACAAAAATTGAGATCAACAACTTCTAAATTCAGAAAGATAAGGATCCAAGAGTTATGTGTGTAAATGTTACTGCTCCGTGCTTCATTCTCAGAGATCTATAGTTCATCAAAGGAATTTTGCATGGATAAGATGGTTTCATTTTGGATAAGAAAGAATTGTGATTTTGTAGTATCGAGAAATATTCATGAGTAACTGGTGTGTATCACTTGTTTACGGGTTTATTCATCTTTACTAATTATTTGTGAATTAGTTTTAGATCCCATGTTGGACGTCCATTAAATTAAATTTTTTCTCAAACTCCTTTTTGATCATACATTTAAAATAAAAATATTTTGCACATAAATTCAAAACTTTTTCTTAATACTTAACCATGCATTCTTTAAAAAAATACTATTTCAAAATGCATTCTCAAACCAAAAAAATAAAATAAATAGGGATAGAGATACTTGAATAGGGCCACGTGGGCCTTGTCCAAACAAGGCGCCCCCAGTCTACGTGGCCTTGTCTGTCCAGCGTAACCTAGAAAAAAACTCATTAAAATGAAGAGAAAATTACATAAAACCAATTATTAAAACTTTCAAATTCAAAATTAGGGATGAAGTTTATTTATGCAAAAATCTGGTATTATATATAATTAACCCATCCAATTCAATTAAAACACTAATCATTTCTCCCAAATTATTCCCTTATCATATCTCGTCTCTCTCTCTATCTCTCTACCTTATCCTTTGACTGTCATCACCGTCAAGGAGTGATCGCCACCGGAGACACCTCCGACTCCAAGTGCCGACACGAGACCATCAGAATTCATGCCATTTTTAAATTGTAATGATCTATTCTCACTCTAACTCTCCATCTTCTCTTCATCTTCATGTCTGTATCTTCCTCGCAATGCAGATCTACCCACTCCGACGAGCTGTGGTGGTGAAATGAATAGGCTATGGTGGTTGTTGAATTTGGTGGTAGTGGTGTGATTTTTTGGCATGTTTTGTTGCGTTTTTGAGGTGGTGGTGGCGGGTTTGTGAATTCTTTGGTGGGGGTGGTGGTTGGTGGCGGTTTGTGGATTCTTTGGTGGGGGTGGTGGTTAGGTGTGGTGTGGTGTAAATGGAAATAAAAGAAATGGTGGTGGTGTGCTGTGGGTGGTGCGTTGTGCGATGGTGGTGGTTGTGGTTGTTGCGGTGGCGATGACGATGACGAGAATGGGTGGAGTATTTGTGACCAATAATTAGGTATCCGTGACCAACTATTTAGTTGATTTGTGACTAAATATTAGGTGTTTGACTAAAAAATAATTTGTCACCAATAAATTGTAACTTATGTGACCCTTAGATAAAATGTGACATGTAATTTGAATGATTTGTGACCTCGAAATAATATGTGACCTACAAAATCTTTTATTTGTGACCATGAAATAATCTGTGACCAATTAATTTGACAATATATGACCAGTAAATAAATCTGTAACTATTAATCATGTAACTGTGATTTTATAATCTTTATTTAATAAATATTTTTAATTAATTAAATTTATACCTGATTTTTGAATTTTCAAACTATTTACTTGATTTTTTAATAGGGATAAACATAACCTTTGAGACGTGATTTTTTCCCTAAAATGAATGTCAAATACGGGCTAAATCTCTCTGCATTAATCCAACACCGAATAGGTGTTTCTATATGTCATATGGGCTTGTTATCTTTAAAGCAATAAAATACTTTAATTATAAATACGACATTTCATTCAAAGACTTGGAGCCTCAGCTTCTGAAATGTTTTCTTGCTCATGATATGAGATCTTTATAATCCTCTTAATTGTTATGGTTGGTATTGGCCTCTAAAGAGAGCAGTTTTAAAAAATAATGACGTCCTCAACTAAGATTTTAATGAATTTTAAAAGGTTGCAAATTCTACTGAATTTCATGAATTTGAATAATTTTTCACAAAATCTATAAGAAATTCATTAAAAATGATGAAATTTGAAAAGAGTTTGTTAGGTGTATTTTTTAAACTTGAAATTCGTTCAAACATTTTGAAATTCCTTTATTAACGAAAGCCTTGCAATTTAACAAGTTATTGAAAATGCCTAGATTTGAAACAATTTATTAAAAATCTCAATTGGAGATACTTGAATTTAGAAAAACTATATATTTATCCTCTTTGTTATGATTGGTCTTGGCCTCTAAAGCAAACAATTTCAAAATTACTGAATCTCTGGTGAAAGCCGTATGCCAGACTTTCTTGCTCTAGCCTTTTTTTTTGTTGGGGGGGTGCTTATTACTTCCAATCATATTTCCATGTTGGCGTTGTTGGGAAATTGCCACACTAGTCCTCAATATTGTATGAGTTTCATGTTGACTCTCATCCATTTTAAAAGAAAGCAAATTAGTCCTCATTGTTTTATTAGTGTTGCACCATTAGTCTCAGTGGACAGAGCCAAACCACACTTCCAAGCCTCCAAACCCACCAGATTCTATTTGGTTGTCAAATGAGTTAAGTTTTCACTTGAGTTTGGTGAAGGATTCAAGTGGAGGTATATTTATAAAATTCGACCCGAACTCTTCACCAAATCAATTTTTTAAATGACCGAACAACATACCAGTCAAAGTCCGAATGAATTGGAAATTTTTCATATCCCGGAGTAGGGATAACAATTAAGTGGGGACATGACTAATAGCCACGTGCCGAGTCAAGGATGTGGGGGAGGGGGACAATATACTAATGGTCTATTATAATGCTTCCTCTATAAGATTATTCAAATTAAAATGTTCATTGCAATAACCATCGTTCACACACAATTGTCTCATGACTGGACAAATGAATTGATTCATGAGAAAAAAAAAACATTTATTTATGTCATCCACATTGAAAGTAGAAGAGGAAAAAGACACTATGATCGCAAGTGGCTGAAGAACAACTCCACCATGGCACCGGAAAAGAGCGTAGTAACATCGCCCAAAAGAGCAGACACTAGAATCTTGATAACCAATTTGGCACATGTAACGGATGTATTTTCACCATTTCCGTTTCTGTAACGCGTAACTAATTCTGTTGAATCTATATCATTCAAAGTAAGGTTCTTCCACTTCATATACGCCTCTTGTATTATATCAGTTAAACAATACACATGAAGACGATACTTTTTGCACTGGGAAACATAAGACAAGCCTCGGACATTTCTCTCATCACAAAGAAATCTTCCGCTTTCCGCACTTAACACACTTCGATGAAATCTTAGTCACAAGATCAAATATCATATCATCAATTATTAGTTTATTTTCAAGTTTTCGACAACATGGATGTAAATCCAAACTGTCTGCTCCACAATGGTAGTTAAAACCGCATATTTCCTTTCCACATGCATAGCACAACTTCGAGAACTTTTTGCAATTCTTTTTACTATCCCATACTGTAAATGGTTTGCTAGAAAATTTGAAGATGGAGCCAGGAAAATTCTCATGGGAAATGGAGGGTATGGGGTGCGCACACTCCATGTGGAATCTACTACGACAGAGATTGCACGTGTACCTTTCTCCGAACCCGTTCATCTTGCAGCCATCGCATTTGAAAAACAGCTCTGTATTTCTGTATATAAAGTTTGTTGGATATTGGTTAAATAAATCGAGAAATTAAAGTGACTTCGTATCGACTTCAGCCAAATACTCAAAAGCTC